TGTGTGTGTGTGTGCATGTGTGTGCACAGGCATGCGTATGTGTGCATGTGGGGGGTGGGGGGTGAGAAGAGACCATGATGAGGCTAGAAAGGAGGCCATGAGTGGGGAGGAAGAGATCTCGGGCAAAGAATGAGTGCAACAAAGGGCGATGGAATACATGCGACATGAAAGCAGATGGAGAAACAGTTTGGGGAAATGGGCGGAGAGGTGGGGCTGGGGACCAGTAAGAACAAAGAGCAGTGACACGAGTGTATGAATATGTCACACATCCGTGTATGAAAAAAATCGGGCCCGAGTGTGGACAGGCAGAATGCTGGGAATCAAACCAAAATAAAACCATGCTGACAGTGAAGGCCACACTGGGGGAGAAGTTGGAGCGAGCCTGAATTTCCCAGAACTGTATGGCACAGCCTATAAAGCAAACAGGGTGCCCGCTCTCCCCCCCACACCCACCCATCTAATGAGCAGTGTGTGTCTTTGTGACTCTGGGACTGACCTATGAGCCACTTAGCCTACTCACTCACAGGCCAGGTGTCATCGTGTGGCTCCGGGACATCTTGCTGCCTAAGGCAGAGATCTCGGGAGGGTGCAGCTCTCATGACCCTCGACTGTAGCCATGTCCGTGGGTAGACAGAGCATCCCAGGGCCTGGCGATTCCCAATCATTCACAGATGCTCCCCACCTATGGGGGGGGCGAGGCCTTGTTGGGAAGCTCTTCCATTCTGGGTTCTCACCGCACCAACCTCGCTGTGGAGACGTTTGGAGCTTAATGCTCAGTTGTGTTTTTCTGGGCTCTTTTCTTTCTGTATTTTCTTACTAGTCTCCTCATTATCTGTTTCTGTTTTTGTTTGTTTGTTTGTTTGTTTTTATCACGTTTATCAGGCCCGTTGCTGGTAGTGCAATGTGCGTAAATCAGAGACATCAACTGCTCCTCAGATTAGGTCAGTCATGGCTGCACAGAGCCGTTGGCCTGTAGGCAGCCCACACGTATTTTTCCCCCAGTTCTTTAAAGTCCTTCTTTTAGATGCCCCTCTTCAAACTGCCCCCTCCCCACCACTCCAAGGCCAGGCAACTGTGGATTTCCTTTCTTCATCCCCATCCTTCACGCTACCCGTTTTACTTCCTCAGGGTATCTCCCACCTGGTCCCCTCCCACTCGCCCTGACTCAGGATTTTCCCCTGGGGCTTTCCCTGAGCAGGGTCAGCTCTGCCAAGGGTCCCAACCCTGAAAGCTTCCTTCCAGCTGCTTGCAACACTCTCTGCTTTCCTAAGCAGGAATGTCCACATCAGCCTTACATTTAGCAACGCTCCCTTTGGGCCCCGCTCTGTCCCCAAACTCCTCCCCTCCTGATAGCACTCAGGCTTCCATGCTCCCCAAATTAACTCACAGCACTCTACCCAATCAGAAAAGCGCTTCTCAAAGCTGGGAGTTAAAAGAAGAAAAAAAGAAAAGGAAGGAAAAACCACCCACACCATTCACTGTTTCTCCCTGCGGGTCACTAGGTCCTTGTGCTACTTCAGGAGAGTAGCTTTTCACCAGAGCCGGTGGCACCACTCTTAAAGGGTCAGGGCGGAAAGTCTGGACTCTGGTGAGCACGAAGAACAGTTTTCGTGCTCGGGGAAATCTGTTATCTGCTGACAGAACTCATGTCGGAAGCCAGGGGGAGGGGGGCGGTTCCCCTCAGCCTCTGACATCACACACTTATTATCACTGGGAGCAGGCGTGACTTAGTGTCCTTATCCGAGGCAGCCTGGAGGTCCAGCTGGCTAAGAGGTACCGAGAAGGCAAACATGGGACGCTGGGAGAGGGAGGGACGGAAGCGCCGCTGCTCATTTTCTCGCAGGCTGACAGAGGCGCCTGAGAAGGACTTGGGGAACTCGAGTCCAGCTGGCCCGTGAGCGCTGTGCCTGGCAGGGGCACGGAGCCTCGGAGGGGTAAACAGCGCTGTCTGCAGCTCCTCCGGGTCAAGAAGGAAGAGCTGTTTCCCTGACCCCGACGTTCCCACAGCCCCCTGGACGCTAGATCATGGGGCTGCAGCCTTCCCCACCCTTGGGAACTCGGTGGAGTGGTTAGGTTCTCTTTATCTCGCCAGTGTGCCTGCCTGCTTGGCCAGCGCAGTTTCACTTTTGCAAACATCTGTTTATATCCCTCGAGAGAAAAATATCAAGCAGCCTGCCCCCAAGGACGCTGTTTCAAGGTGAGCAAGGTAAGGAAACTTATTTTTTAAGTATCTGGGAAGTAGGTTAAGCCCGCTCTGGTTGTTTTTAACGCTTTGTTTTCTTAAACCCTTATCTCCCACTTCAACCAAAAGAATTTACTACGGGACCAAAATCCCTGCCTCCTTCGCGCTGGGCAGCGGGCCGGGTGGAGAGAGCGAGCTGCCGCTGTGGGGGCGTATCTACCCAGAGCCTTTGCTGTAGGATGGAGGGGAAATGTAACTTGTGGTTTCCCCGCAGGGCGGTGGGAGATGGATAATTACACAGCGGCCCCGGACGACGAGTACGACGTCCTCATACAGGGCGACCTGGACAGCGGGGAGGTGGACCGAACCCTCGCCCCGGAGCTCCTCTCGGCCCGGCAGGTGCTGCAGTTTTGCTGCGCCGTGTTCGCCCTGGGTGTCCTGGACAACGCTTTGGCCGTGTACGCCCTGGTGAGGTTCAAGGGACTCAAGCAAGTGGGCGACGTCTGCTTTCTAAGCCTGGCGGTTTCGAACCTGTGTTTCCTGCTTCCCCTGCCCTTCTGGGCCCACGCCGCCGTGCGCGGGGAGAGCCCCGGCAACGCGACGTGTAAAGTTCTCGTCGGACTCCACTCCGCAGGCCTGTACAGCCAGGCGCTTCTCAACACCCTTCTCCTTGTGCAAGGGTACCTGGTGTTTTCCCAGGGGAGCTTGGCGACCACCCTCACCACACTGCCCTGTGCCGTTGTCACAAGCGTCCTGGCCTGGGTGTTGGCGGCTGCGCTCTCTCTGCCTGAAGCTGTGTTTTATAAGCCTCAGATGGAAAGACAGAAACACACGTGCGCCTTCGGCAAACCTCACTTCTTGCCGGTGGAAGAGCCGTTCTGGAAGCACGCTCTGGCTTTAAAGACGAACGTTCTGGCGCTGGTTCTTCCTCTGCTGGTTTTGATATTCTGCTGCGCGCAAATGAGGAAAGCTCAGAGCTTCAGGGAGCGGTGGCACGATCTCCGCAAGCCTGCTTTTGTCCTAATGGGCGTGTTCCTTTTGATGTGGGCACCTTACAGCGCTGTGCTCTTCCTGTCTGCTTTCCAGGAACACTTGTCCCTGCAGGGGGAGAAGAGCAGCTACCACCTGGCTGCAAGCATCCAGGTCACACAGCTCATCGCCACAGCCCACTGCTGCGTCAACCCTCTCCTCTGGTTGCTTCTTGACCAGACCGTTACTAGATACCTCCGCGGCCTGTTCCCACGGTGCAGCAATGTCCCGTTTCAAAGCGGCGGGGACCCTCCGCGAGCCGAGCCAAGGCAAGGTCACGACAGTCCCATTGAGCTGTACAGTAGTGTGCATCAAAGGCAGGATGCGTAAACATTAGTCCTTGTCTCTTCGCCTTGTTTTATGTAATTTTTGTTTGTTTGTATAAAAATGGAACGTGGGAAGAAAGGGGGCTGGTTAATGGATTTTCACTACTAAGCACTGGATTTGGCTCTGGCGCAGAACCAAGCAAGCTACTTATACCGGTGAACTCCATCTCTCCTCCATAGTGCTTGTCCGAGGTGTGGGTGTGGCTGGTGTGTGTCCCATATCTCTGAGAAAGAAACTGTAGCTCAGTAATTTGTTCAGAGGTACACAGCTCTACGGCGGTAGGACAGAGATCCCTTGCCTCAGGGCCTGTGAGTTATGCTAAGTGTGCCAACCTTTCAATGATTGACAGCCAGGAGTGGCGGCATGTGTCTGTTAATCCCAGCACTCTCGGGTGGACTAAGGCAGGAGGAATCCCACAAATGCAAAGGTAGCCTGGGCAACATAGCAAGACCTCCCCCAACTTCAACTTTTTTGTTCAACCAATTACATGCAGTGGATATGCACTTTTAAAGCCCACTTTGAGGGCTGGGACTGTAGTTCAGTTGGTGGAATGTCAGCCCTGCAACCCTGGCTTTGACCTGCATCGTGGAGTACACCTAGTACGGTCGTGGGTTTTTGCTCTGGTTTTTGGCTTTGGTTTTTTGAGATAGGGTTTCTTTGCATAGCCCTAGCTGACCTGGAACTCTCTTTATTGTCCAGCCTGGCCTTGAACTGAGATAGGTGCCTGTCTCTGCCTCCCAAGTGCTAGGATTAAAGGTGGCGTTTGCCACCGCCGGTGCGCTACTTCATTTCAGCTAAACTCAAGAGGTGGATGAAGAAAGATCAGAAGTTTAAGGTCATCCTTGGCTACATAGTGAGTTCAAGGAAACATTATGTTCAAAGCAAACATTGGCACAGAAACACTTTTCTCAAGCACCTTCTGCAGGTCATGAGAAGAACTGGCTGCATGGAGGCTGTGAAACCCACTAGGCTCTCTCGACTGCTCGCTGTACCCAAGCTTCCCTGATTATTTCGGCCTATGAGGGCTCCAGGTTTCAGAGTTAGTTGTCTCTACCTATGTCATGAAGGCTGTGGTGTTTCAGGAAATTTAACAAGAGTAGACGTAAAAGTATGTTTAGAAATGCTGGGTTAGATGAACACTGTGACCTTTGAAATGTAACACATACCTCAGGCCTCATTAGCCTGTGACTACAAATCATTCCCCACTTCCTTCTGAAGGTGAGTTACACAGCACCGGCTCCTCCCATCTGCCGGCCAGCAAGAGGCCAGCAGTTGCCCGGGTTACCCGTCTGGGGTGGCCCCTCTTCCTGCCTGTAGTGTTCAGAGCTCTAGCGTTCCTGCCTCTGGTGTCCCACAGTCCATCTGGGCCGAGGGCTTGTGGCCACAGATCTCACAGGGCTATGATCAGGCTACAGGCCTCAGAGTAAGTTAGGGGCAAGCAGGGGCGGGCAGGGAAGGAGTATAACCAGAGCTCCCACCCAGGAACCCTTCCCAGGACAAAAGATTCTCCTGTCAGTCATCATCATAACAGAAGGAAGGGGAGGCGGCCTAGTGAGTGAAGGTACTTGCTGTGTGAGCCTGGTGACCTGAGTTCAAGCCCTGGAACCCACCTAAAGGTGGGAGGAGAGATCTAACTCTGAAAAGTTGTCCTGAGACTTGCACATGAGCCTTTCTGAACACGTGTGCTCGCATGCTCTTGTGCACACACTCACAGGAACCACACCCCGAAAAGGAATTTTAAAAAGAAAAAAAAAATATATGGTGGTATTTTTAATGTCTCTAAGTAACTAAAATTGGAATTCTTGTACAGTGCTGGTGGGAATATAAAATGACACAACCAGTTTGGGAGAAGATGGAAGTTTGTCTAAAAGCTAAATATGGAGTTACCAGTCCCTCCACTTCTAGATGCTTACCCAAGAAAAACGAAAACGAAAACGTGCCTGTACACACGCTTGGACACGAACCGTCGTGAAAGCTGTATTTATACAGCCGCAAGCTGCCATCAGACCACCTGTGCCTCAACAGGTGGACAGAGAAGCAGTTGCAGACTACAGAATCACACAGTCCTCAGAGGCAGAGCAAATGGTGACTCCTGCTCAGTTAGTTATAATTTCCAATGTGTTCATTCTTAATTTTTTATTTAGATATAATTTTAGAAAACGCAGACTAACCCTCAGTGGCTGATGTAAGTGGCTGCTGAGGATGCTTACACAGGAGGAGTATGGGATACATTACAAAAGGCTCACTGAGGGTCTGGTGAATATGTTTGCTATCTGGGCGGCAGTGCTGTTTTTACTGTGGCCTATCATGCAGCCACTGTACTCCAATATGGCTGGTTTTAAAAGCCTCTGAGGCACACCAGGGTGTTACTTCAGGCTGTCTTGGGGCACAGCCTAGGGTCCTCTGCTGCCCAGGCTTCCATCACATGCCCAGAGTTTCCAGGCAGCACAAGGGATGACTGCACCCTTTCACCCTTACCCATGACTAGGGAGGAGAACGGGGGTGGCTTCTCTCTCAGCTGCAAGAAAGAAGAGAGACTCAGGCAGAAAGCATCCCCGTAGTTATGCAAAGAGGTTTGGAAAGTTCAAGAATATAATCTCTTCACAGATTTAAGGAAGCAGGTCTGGGCTCTCCAGCCACTTCTATGTTAAACAGAAGTCTGGGAGGGAGTAGTTTCCTTCTCTGACATTCACTGATAGGGATGAACTTAAAGAATGGCCTTGTCAGCATTTCCAGGATGAAAATTCAGAAAGTGGAAAGATCTAATGGGAGCTGTAGGTAAGACAGGTGCTGAGAATCCAAAGTGGATGTGGTATACTAAAAAATGGGAATCCAGCAGGGCCTTTCTTCTGTGTTAGAACAAGTGGACTGTCTCCTGAAAAGAAAAAAAAAATTGTGGAAAGTGAGATGGCTCAGGGGATAAAGCTGGTTACCATCAAGCCTGATGACCCACGTTGGGTCCCCGGGATCCACAGGGTAGATGGAGAGAGCAAACTCCTACGAGCTGTCCTCTGACCTGTATGTGTGTGCTTTGGCGTGCACACACACACACACACACACACACAAATAAACACGTAATAAAATTTTAAAATAACACTAGCTTTTCTATTTTTCCACAAATACTGTAATAAAAAACTAACAAACAGTAAAAAGCAAACAGAAAATGGCTAGTGTAGTAAAAAAAAAAAAAAAAAAATGATAGTGCTTCTGGTTTGCTTGCAAGCTATTTGCCTGTGGAAGAAACTGCTGGTTGGCTCTATCTGTGAGGAAGGCTCATCACTGTAGAGTATTGCAGGAGGCGTGGGTGAGGGCCTGGGCCAGCCATCAGCCTTCAGTCTTACCATGGCAGCCTTACAAAAACAGAACACTGAATCCAGCCTTCCAGCTCTCCAGACCACACTGCCTAGGGAAGGGACTGTACATTCCCAGGAAAGGGTGTAGCCATCCCGGCAGGAATGAAGACATGTGTGCCTCTCTCCCTTTGGATATCAAACTATTGAAACAATGGAGGGAATTGGACTTTCCCTGGGAGTCTCATGATAGAGAAGGGGAAGCTGGATGTTGTCTTCCAGGAAGAGATTTCACACGGTTCTGAGCACTTGTTAGAGCACCTTGTAGGAGAGGCTGGGCTGGGGACAATGATATGAGGCGCCGCTCCTTGACCAGGACTGCTTGCCCTCTATTTAAACCTGAGCCGTACGTCAGGACCCCAGATACAGACTTCGGTGGAGGTCTGTTACTTGGGTGTTACCAGATTTATTCAGGTCAGAGCCTGAGACCTGACAAACGAGGCTTGGTCGTCTGTCCTCAAGAAGTCAACGAAACAAGCAAGTAATGGTAAAAAGCAGGAGGGAGAGAGGGAGAGAGAAAAAGAGAGAGATGTTTGATGTGGCCACATTGGGAAGAACAAAGAGACCCAGTGTCCTCCTTTGTCTCTGTGGTTTGAGTATAACTCAAAAGCATGTAGCATGTAGCAGGGCAGTCTGGGTCAGGATGCGGTTCTGCTCATCACCATTGCCCTAGCTCATCTGCTGCAAGCCTGAATGTGGCTTGGTAAGGAGTTCTCAGGACCCTCCTGAAGCTAACAATTCCAGGTAACAAGGACACCTGCGAAGAGCCTACGGAGACCCCAGAGCCCTCTCTGAAACGGCACTGTGAGACAGCCTGTGAATTTTTCCAGCAGAGTGGCACTGTTCCTGCCGTGTGTCGGGTGAGGTAGGGAAGCACGGGGAATATTAGTAACCCAGGACTCCACCTGGTTTGGGTTATACATGCCTACTTTCTAATAACACTCTTGGCTCCTTTACCTGAACATGCTTTGCAAGCACGCCTCTTTCGGAACAATGCATCTGACAACCTCAGCCCTACCTTCAACAGGATGCACTTACACCCCTCTCAAAACAATAGGATATGTTTATTTTCTCTGTCAAACTCTGACAGTGTCTACTCAAAAGGATTCCTAATACATCCTAGTTGAGGGTCAGTTTCATCAAGCCTGAACTGGTTTTAGAGCACATGTGCACTAAGGCAAAACTGTGTCCTCAAATGAACTTTTTTTTTCTTTTTTAAAAAATTTATTTTTTTTATTTATTACATTTGATTTACTTGTATCCCACCTGTATTCCCCTCCCTCATCCCTTCTGAATCCTACCCTTCCTCCCTCTTTTCCTCCCATGCCCTTCCCCCAGTCCACTGATAGGGGAGGTCCTCCTCCCCTTCCGTCTGACCCTAGCTTATCAGGCCTTATCAGGACTGTCTTCATTATCTTCCTCTGTGGCCTGGTAAGGCTGCTCCCCCCTTGAGGGGGGGTGTCAAAGAGCCAGCCACTGAGTTAATGTCAGAGACAGCCCCTGTTCCCATTATTAGGGAACCTACTTGGATACTGAGCTGCCGTGGGCTACATCTGTGCAGGGGTTCTAGGTTATCTCCATGCATGGTCCTTGGTTGGAGTATCAGTATCAGAAAAGACCCCTTTGCCCAGATTTTTGGTTCTGTCGCTCTCCTTGTGGAGCTCCTGTCCCCTCCAGGTCTTTCTATCTACCCCCTTCTTTCATGAGATTCCCTGTACTCTGCCCAAAGTTTGCTATGAGTCTCAGCATCTGCTTTGATACCCTGCTGGGTAGAGTCTTTCAGAGACCCTCTGTGGTAGGCTCCTGTCCTGTTCCCTATTTTCTCCCTCCTCTGATGTCCATCTCGTTTGCCTTTCTGAGTGAGGAACTAGAAAAGATCATCCTGAGTGAGGTATCCCAGAAGCACAAAGACACATACAGTATATATTCACTTATAAATGGATATTAGACATATAATATAAGATAAACATACTAAAATCTGTACACCGAAAGAAGCTAAGCAAGAAGGAGGACCCTGGGTAAGATGCTCAATCCTCACTTAAATGAACTTTTAAGGAGAATCCCCTATGTTATCTTTGCTTTTCTGTGTTTGTGAGAAAACATCCTGACCAAAAGCAAGTCTGGGATGAAAGGGTTTACTTGGCTTACGGGTGACAGTCTATCATGAAGGGAGGCCGGGGCAGGAATCTGGAACTGAATGGGGAGCACTACTTGCTCTTCCCTGCTTGCTTGGGTACCTTGCTTGCACTGCCCTGGCTCACCTGCCCAGGAATGGTATGGTCCACAGTGGCTGAACCCTCCCCCACCAATCAGCAATCAAGAACATGACCCACAGACATGCTTGCGGGCCAATCTGATGGATACAGTTCCTCAACTGAGATTGCCTTTTCCTGAGAATATCTAGATTTGTGTCAGGTTGACAAACACTAACCAGCACACTTGATTTGTCATCTTGTGCCTGTGTATGATTAGGCTTGCATGTGATAAAAGTCAGATATGTTTTGGAAAGAGACACACACAATAAAAAAAAAAAAAAAAAAAAGATTATATGACTTATAGGTTTATCAGCCACAACAGAGAGCCACACTCAGTATGCCAAATTCCTCACCAAATTCTTCCTTCTCCTTCTCTTGCAGCCAGTAACAGGAAGTCCCCACAATAACTGGGGCCCTTGAGTGTCTTCACTCATGAGGCCTGTTGCTCCTGGCAAGTGTGTTCTGGTCTCTTCTATTGTTTTGCTTTAAATAAAGTTTCCTTGGGACTGTTGCAAGTTTGTGTAAATTGTTATTTCAGTTCTTTGGTTAAGAGGCCAAAAACCTGGAGACACTTGACCCGTCCCCGCACTGGGGGGTAGCAGGGTATTCATAGGACTGGCTCTTCCTGTGCAGCCACCACCCTGCCAACAGCGGTTCAGATGAGCTTAAAGATTCATCTGTTAGAGGTTCTTTCCGTCTAAGGAAGATGTGGAAGGCATGACTTTCTCACACAAGGTCTGTTTCACAATAGAGGAGATGACTGCCCGGCCATTTTTGGCTTTCTTCAGTCAGTTCTATGAACCAGAAGTGAGAGACGGGTGAGGAAGGGTGAGCTGGGACAGGCTGGACCTGTCCTGGGTTCTTCCAGCTCAGTGTGTTGAGGACACTGAGTGTGTTCTCACGCTAGGCAGGACTCTGCCTGTCTGCCTTGTCTTCCTTTCTCCCTGTCCCCTGGTCCGTAGAGGGTGGAGGGACATGGTAACTGGACAGCTGGATATCTTCCAATGTTAGCAGGCCACCAGGAAACAACGCCCTCACTCAACAAAGAGGAAATGGAAGCTAAAGGACTTTTTTAGTTCTTTGCTTGTTTGGTTGTCTTATTGCTGTGCAGATTACTTGAGTAAGCTCTTAAAAATTCAACATTTAAGGGGCCTGAAGTAGAATCAGAGACCAAGAAAACGCTGTGTTGTTTTGGGTTTCTGAAGGGAAAGATCTGGCATATGTGTTCTGACTGGGGGTCATTCTTCCACCAAAAGAGACAGGGGACAAGGGACCTTCCCAGGGACTGCCCAGAGCCTTGGGAAACGTCACCAGTAAAGGCAGGACTTGGGCTCATCACACCATGATGCCATTCTGGAGAAGCCTTGAGGCCCTGTCCCGGGTAGAAACAGAAAATGATACAACACATAGGCTGTATTGAATCCAAAGCTCACAGTTTTCCCTGGGGACACAGGTGTGAGGAAATGACAACAGGACACTGAGCAGGACCCAGTCTTCACGGTTAGCATGACTGGATTTAGAAACACAGTGTAGACACACCTCTGGGCTTGTCTGTGTGGGAATTTCCAGGAAGGTCTCACTGAAGACCCACTGTGACTGTGGGCAGCGCCATCCCCTAGGCTGGGTCTCTGGCTGAGTAAAAAGGAGAAAGGAGCTGAGCACCGTCACTCCTCTCTCTCTCTCCTGACTGTGAGCACGGTGTGAGCATCCGCCTCACGCTCCTGCCCCAGGCCCTCCTCAGTGTGGTAAGCTGTGCCCTCACAGTGACTGAAAGTGGATCGTCTCCACCTCAAGCTCATGTTGCCGGGTATTTTGTCACAGTGACTAGGAAAGTAACAGAAACGCACACCCAGCTGAGTGGGGATGGAAGATGCAGGCAGCTTGACTCTGTGGGACCAGCACCGTGTAGGAGATCTAGATTTCCCACGTCTGTCTGTCTGTCTGAAATCGTTCCCTAGAGGTGTTATATGGGGATTTTCTCCCACAAGGCCATGAGAAGCACAGAACCTTAGCAGATGGACATTTCTCTCATCCACATTCAAATCCACAAGAGAATGGGTTTCCTCTTCTTTTTTCCTGTCTATCCCTGCCTAGCCAAGAGTCCCTACATCTTCTAATATTTGGGTATCATTCTTTCTTAAAAAGCCAAGCAACACATCTGCAGAATGCCCAGGACCTCTCTTAGGAGGACCCTGCTGTCCCCTGGCAATCATCTCTACCACCTCCCCACTTTCCCCTCAGCTACCCCTCATTTGGAGACCCTGGCCTCTCTTCACATGCTTCCCCCCCCCCCACCCCAAGGCAGACAATTTTCCTGGATCTCTGTTACCAAAGGAAAGGACAGGAAAGTCAACAAGCGGTGGGCATTCTTACATCCTGGGTACCACTGCGAAGGCTCCATAGCCTAGCCAGTATTATTAAAGGCAGCGTGGCGCACACCTTCAAACACAGCACCTGAGAGGCAGAAGCAGGCAGATCTCTGAGTTTGAGGCCAGCCTGTTCTAAATAGAGAGTTCCAGAGCTGCCAGGGCTACACAGAAACCCTATCTGGAAGTCAAAAACAAACTAAACCAACCAACCAACCAACCAAACAAACAAACAAACAAACAACACAGGACTTCATAGCCATCATATAGGAATGGCCTTCGCAACCACACTCCTTGAGAAGCTGTCCTAGTGCCCAGCCATCTCCTCCAAGCACACCCCTCTTCCGATTCCACACCTCTTTCCCACGCTATTAGTTCCCCCATCATCTGGCCAAGGGAGTCAGCTCTGTGTGGCTCTGAGCTCTCACCCTTACTTTTCTCAAGTCACGTGGCCTCTCAAGATGTTTCCCTGGCTGACACCAGCTCTGACGTACTCCCCGGCTCCACCAGATCATTCAGACATGGCTCCTGGCGTTCACCCCGCCCCTTCTGTTGAAACATTTTTAAGAATCTATTTCAGGGTGTGGCCCTGGGAAGCCAGCAGCCCTATCACGTTCAGCATAAGGAGCAGGGTGGTGCCCAGGCCTGAGGCTGGTGGCTTGCTAATGTGCTCCCGACACAGATGACTGCTGAGGTCTGGGGTGTTGCATCCTCCTGGAGCTGGACTTACATGTGGCTGCAGGTTGTGCGACATGAGTACTAAGCCGTCACTCAGCTCAGCTACTAGAGGATGGGAGAGATGGCTTAGTGGTTAAGAACACTTGTGGCTCTTACAGAGGACCCGGGTTCAATGGTCAGGATCCATGTGTAACTCCATTGCAGGGGATCTGGCACTGTCTTCTGGCCTCCAAGGACATCCGGCATGCACTTGGTGCACAGACATAAATGCATGAAAAACATTTATACAATTTATACATTTACAAAATTTTAAAAATGACTTAAAATATTTAATTTTTTCTTTCTTTGTGTGTGTGTGTGTCTATCAGTGGGCACGTGTGTAGGTGCCTGGGGAAGCCAGAAGGTGTCAGATCCACTAGAACTAAAGTTACAGGTGCTGGTAGCCAAACTTGGGTCCCCTGGAAGGACAGAAGACACTTTTAACAGCTGAGCCATCTCTCCAGCCCCTTGGTTACTTTTCCTGTTGCTACCACCAAATGCCTGAAAAACAAACAAACAAATAAAACAAAACAAAACTTTGGGGAAGGAGGGCTTATTCTGGCTTACACCTTGAATCATGGAGGAGTGGAAATGGTGCAGGCTGCTCCGTGGTAGCAGCCGTTGAGTGGCCAGGACTCCACCTCAACACTAGGAAGGCCAGAAAGCAGGAAACAAACAGGATATAGGCCTGGGCTATGTGGGACCAGGCTATAAAACCCCAGCAACCCACTTCCTCCTTCCTCCAGCAAGGTTGCTCTTCTGAAACACTCGACAACCTTCCAAAAGATTGCCGTGGCTGGGGAACCACTCGTTTAAATGCATGAACCTATGGGAGACAAAACAGGGCAGAGAAGAGCCTTGAAACTGAAATAACCGAAGGCTCTGCTTCTCCTCCAGAAATAAAGTGTCCTGCTGGACTATTTCATTAACATTAAATAATGGGGATCAAATAGAAACTTTAAGAGTTATTGTCTGGCACTCTTATTTTTTCTATTTCGTCCTGTGTTCAGACCAGGGGGACGAATGGCAGAGCCACCACTGACCCCTGGCGGACACAGATGCAAAGAGGGAGGCAGTCTTGCTTGGTCAGCCCTAGGGGTGGTTGGCTCCCAGAGCACAGCTTCTCAGGAGATGATGCTGCATTTCATTTCAAACAGGGAAACGGATTTTGCTGATGGGTCTTTTGTTGTTGTTGTTGTTTAGTTTTTCAAGACAGGTTATCACTGCATAGTTCTGGCCATTTTAGAATTCTCTATGTAGACCAGGCTGGCCTCAAACTCACAGAGATCCACCTGCCTCAGCCTACCAAGTGCAGGGATTAAAGCCGTGCGGCACAACACCCAGTTCACTGATGCGTCTTTAGTTTCACTTTCTGATTCATTCAAGAAGGATCTTGTCGTTTAATTGTTATGTTTTGCACCTGCAAGCATTAAACTCTACCATCAAATGTTTCTCATTGCATAGACTTTTCAGGCTAGTGAAGAAGGACAATACATCTGGCCTTAATGAAAAAGGAATGAGTTTTGGTCCCAGGATTATTGGCCCTTTTCTGAAAATTCCAGAAGATCTGCAGGCAGCAACAAACTGCCCATTTTTTGTTGTTGTTGTTAACAATGGTGAACAGCAGTTAAATGCATGAGGGAGTAGAATTCAAGATCATTGTCTTTGCTTTGAAGAGCTCATTGGAGTAAGTGGGTTGAGGAAGTGGTGATTAGGTGGCTGGGAAGATAGCTCAGTCAGTAGAGCCTTGCAAGCATGAGGGCCTGAGTTTGGTCTCCAGAATCGACATTGTAATAGCCAGGCATGCCTAGTTCTTTTGTCAGCTTGACACAAGCGAAGGTCATTTAGGAAGAGGGACGCTTAATTGAGGAATGCATGTATAACTATAAGAATGCATGTAGGCAAGTCTGTGGGGCATTGTTTTCTTGATTAATGATTGACGTGGGAGGTCCCAGCCCACTGTGGGCAGTGCCATGCTGTGCAGGTAATCCTGGGTGTTAGAAGAAAACAAGCTGAGCTGGGTGGTGATGGCACACACCCTTTATCCCAAGCATTTGAGAAGCAGGAGTTCGAGGCCAGCCTGTCCTATAGGACAGCCAGGGCTACACAGAGAAACCCTGTCTTGAAAAACTAAAAAAGAAAAGAAGAAAAGAAAGAAAGAAGGAAGGAAAAAAGAAGAGAGAAAAAGAAAGAAAGAAAGAAAGAAAGAAAGAAAGAAAGAAAGAAAGAAAGAAAG